GCTGCCTGAAGGGACGCAAGGAATCTAGAATTTGTGGGTATGTATAGGGTGCTCTGGATCTGATTTCTGAATAGAATGTAAGTTTTTATAAATGACTATTTTTTGCCCGTGACTTCGTCCGCGTGGAATAAGTTCACAAGTAATGCTTTATTTTAGAACAAATATGGTTAGCATAAAAAACGTTATAGAGAGCCAACCTTAACATATAGACATATGCTGTTGCGGACTTTTTTTAGATCTTTTATAGGGGAACAATTATCTCCTACATTATTTTAGCGAAACTTTAGCTCTCAGAAGAAAAAAAACAACGATTTTAAAACATTCTTTATTGGTGCTCCGCTTGCATTGGTCTTAGCGTAATGTTATAATAATATAGTCTATAGCCTTTCTCGATAAATGGGCTATCTAACACTGAAAGAATTTTTCAAATCGGACCAGTAGTTCTTGAGATTAGCGCGTTCAAACAAACAAATTCTTCAGCTCTATAATATTTTAAGTCATAAGTATAGATACGTTAATACTTATGATAGTATTTTTATAATAGTAGACAACGATTTGGCTGTGCACCTTACATTGCTGGCGTCTATGAGAGACGGTAACCATTCACCATACGATCTGCCTACAAAGGCAATAATTTTTTAATTTGGAATTTGACAATTAAAAATAAATTAAAATCGACTGTATCGGAACATTATCGCTAAAATTCATATTATAAAGTCTGTTTAAAAACTTTAATTTTGAAGTATCGCGAGTTTGAAAAATACTGTAGCGACGAATGTTTTATCTTATACCTTTAAACGAGCAACTCTTTTATATATAATTATATATAATCTGAATCTCGAAAACGGCTCCAATAATTTTCATAAAATTTAGTATACAGGGGATTTCGGGGGCGATAAATCGATCTAGCTACGATTTATTTTCAGAAAATGTTGGTTCATTCGTGTTTTCAATAATCAACTCTTCCCGACATCTATTGGCGAATAATAAGACTATTTTTCTTGACAAGATGGCGTTATAAAAAAAAATCGGTCATCATCTAGTTTATTTATTACATCAGAAAGTTAAAAGCTCACTTGACGTTTAGCAGTCACTGGAGCTCATAGACCTGAGTGCCGCCACCTGCCTTGAGACGTGAGGTCTCAAATTTACAGTATTTACGCAAATAAGATTTTGATTTTTATTAAGCGTTTTTTTATCATGTGGGTGCTATTAGTGAAGTGAATTTCATATTTAAATACCTACTCAATAATTAAAAAAGAACATGTAAATAGCTGTAGTTAATGATTTTGCGACGAACAAATAAGCAAAATTTTCAAACAAATAAAAAAAAAAGAGAATCCTTGAAAATTTATTTTATCGATTTTTCTAAGGATAGTGTCACTTCTTGAAACCTGTCTATTTGACACCCTGCCTATTTCTTCTGGGAATCAGTAATGCGTTTCGGTTTGAAGGGTGGGGCCGCCGTTGTATTGTAAAAACTGAGACCTTAGAGCTCATATCTCGAGGTAGGTGGCGGCACTTAAGTTGTTGATGTCTATGGGCTCCGGTAACCATTAAACCAGGCTGTGGGTTCATTCACCCATCTAAGCAATAAATAAAAATTTCCAATAGGAAAGGACTGAAATTAGTTATTACGCATTTAAATTTGACCCTTATTTCGACGAAGAATCCAGGGATTTTTTTTAAATTAAAACCCTTCATTTTTATCACAAAACCTCAACAATATATAAACAGCCACACAACGAGCCCATTACACACGAAATTCGTATATAAAAACGGGTAAATTAAAAAGCTTATCCTAACTAACAACGGATTATCCTACGTTGATTGGCGCAGTGCCGGTTTGCGCCGCCAAAATCCGGCTCTGAACCGGATAAAACCGGTACAGTGCAATTGTAGATAAATTTCGCTGTAAGCCGATGTTCGGGTTTGGTAATGGGAATGCTTCAGAACTTATTGCCAGGCTTAAGTAGAGATGCATTTGGATAACGTTGGAAGACCAGTTCAGCTGCAGGAGTATCTCTAATCGTTCTAATAATTTTAGCCATGTGTTTAGCCATTTAGCTATTATGTAGCACTAGCCTGTCTCTTCTGGTTAGTATCGCATAAGCCGATGAATGGAAACATTTAAAGATACTTTTACGACGCAATCTCGCGTTTCTAATGTCATTATGTCATTTATTTAAAGTGAAACTTTTATTAATTACATCGTCGCAAACTTTTTCGTCTGTGTGTTGCATGTCGCGTGACGGTCGGCCGCGGAGTAGGGATAAAGTGGAAGGCGCTCGTCAGAGCAGTTAAGACCAATATGGCGGCGCCTATATAGTTCGCAGCAGCTGACCGTGTAATGTATAGACTATTACTCATTTATGACAGTGCTCCACGCTATTTTGTTTGTTTTTGTCAGTGTTAAATGTCTATAATGTGAAAAAAAGTTTCACTTTTACCGTGGTTTCATAAAACCACACAATCCTTTTAATTATTTATTTAAAAAAGTACTGCCACATCAAAAACATTGAAAATAACTTAAACTATCTAATTTATGGCCTGATGCCTGTGACAATAATGGCGTACAGCATCGACAATTCATCGGCTCGAAGATGGAATACAATCTTGGAATACAAGATGGAAAAATAAAAAAAGAATACCTCATGAAAACATACTGTGAAATTCAAGTTTAACAAGGAATACAGTAATAATTGTTGAATTAATAATATGAATGTCTAATAAATGTCATGTCATATCAAAAAGACATGACAGTTTTGACATTTATGACATTTAGAATACTTTACCGTTTTTGTGGTAAAGATATAATAGTTTTAATTATATTTACGATTTTGTTATTAATAGGAGTATTGGAATTGAATATTAATATAATTAAGACGGATAGTGATGTTATTTTTTTTTTATTTTAATTTAAATATTGTTGTTGAATAAAGTTGTATCTTACTCTTGTTTAATAATACTAGTCTATAAAGTATGACAGCACTAAAAATCAATTTCAATTTTTACTCTACCTACTATCAATGTAATTTTTAATGAAAACGAATCTTTAATGACCAATATTCTTAATCAAATTTGTTTGCTATTTGTCTGTCCTCAACTGGTCGGATTTATCAAAACACATACTTTAGCCTATTTATTTTGTCTGTATACGATTCAAATACCATTTTTTTTTAATTGTATTGACTATGTACTTCAAAACTCTTTTGTAATTTCAACTTAAAACATGTAGTCATGACTTTAGTGCTGTTAAAACCTGGTCTTTTATCAACGCGTTGTAAAACAAACCGAATGTGTTTACAAAGACATTGTACCTACTTAATTCTTAAAAGGAAAAAATAAATTGTTTAGGTACGGTATTAAATCATAGTTATTTTTTTTGGTACAACTTTTCCATATTAGGGTAGGCAAGGGGATCTAAGCCCATACAGCCGTTTAAATCGTAGATACTTCAGTGTATTAAGTCCACTGGTGACATTAATGACAGTACCACGGGTTAAAAAAATATAAGGCAACGGCTTCACTCTCTTTATGCCACTGATGATGTCAACACCTTGAAAAGCGATGAAATTTTCGAATAATTATTAAAAATTACTACGATTGATATGAAAGAAATGTTTAATTTAGTTTCTTAAATTGGTTAGCTATAAATGTTTTCATGAATTAAAATAATAATTATATTCACAACGATTTTGTTTAAATCAATGCCGATTGTAAAAACTGTGACCGTCTGGGTCAATACGATATGCTGGTCTATGAAAACCGAAGAATAGGCTATAAAGGAATCAATGCACTAGTATTTTGAGATCGACATATGGTGAGTCTTCACGGGCGATTACCATTCTAATCTATTTTAACCGCATTTCAGTTTAAAAGTGGGAATTACCTATAACGTATATGGCATAGTGTTGCAACACAATAATGAATTCGCACTTATTACTTACTGTATAGAACTGAATAATTAAGGCATTACTTTGTTATCTATTCAGCATTTGAAGACTTTTTTCGCACATTTTAACGCTGAGGAAAACAAAAATACTAAAACCGGAATAATTACAACATTGAGGCATTGAAATTCAAATACTCTCAGATTGTAAAAGAGATCAAAAACTCCAAACACGCGAAATATCATTTTAAGAAAATTCCCAAACAAAACAGCAAAGTAAAAAAAGTTATCCGGCAAACTCCTTGATTACACCCGCGCCGCAGCCGGTTACGATCCGCCTGAATCCGGCGCGAACCGGATAAAACCAGATTTATGCAGTTCCCTGAGGATCCGAGCTCGAGACGTTGAAATGCAAATTTACCCTCGTGAAGAGATCACGCGAGAAATTGGGGTTATTTTTCCTGAGCATAATGACTCCCAGAGAGCGTTATTCATTTAATATATCTTTGTCATATTATCGCTGATATTATTTTTGGTCTGGAGACGATTTTAATATTTACTAGGTAGCGGGAGTTGCTTAACTTAAAGTAATTTTCAGTTCAAATGTGAAAGCGTCTTGAAAGCTCTGAAGGAGTGATTATGACGGCAGACAACTTTTACTGGTGGTAGGATCTCCTGTGAGTCCGCGCAAGTAGGTACCACCACCCTGTCTATTTCTGCCGTGAAGCAGTAATGTGTTTCGGTTTGAAGGGTGGGGCAGCCGTTGTAACTATACTTGAGACTTTAGATCTTATATCTCAAGGTGGATGGCGCACTTACGTTGTAGATGTCTACGGGCTCCAGTAACCACTTAACACCAGATGGGCTGTGAGTTCGTCCACCCATGTAAGCAATAAAAAAAAACAAAAAGCAAAGATAGGCCGATGTTTTGACGCCGCATCTGACAATAAAGTAGTTACGGAAACTCAGTCTTCACCCATCATGAGCTATAAGATTGAAGTTTCAAAATTACAATAAAGCCAATGTTTCTGTTCCGATACCACATATTGTTTATTGCGTACTAGAAACAATGGTTAAGCTAATTTAGACCTAAGTAATATTTACTTACCATTTTCATAACCATTGCCCTCGGTTTTGGTTCTGAAACAAAAAAAGTATACTTTTATACGTGTCTGTTGTTAGGCATTGCAAAGCAACTCTATATTGAAAAATATCTTTTAAAAAAACTGAAAAAAAACCTTATGTAATATATTTTGTTGGTCCACCTACATAGTATTCACATATCCTGTGTATAATGGTAATTAATAGTCTACCAGTTTGAATTAGAATATTTGTCAGCGACTCTGGCTTTACCGATATACTGTCAATCATCTACTATATGTTCGAAGTAGTAGTATCCCGTTTTGTTTTGTTACCTGTCTCAGACGAGTTAACGGGCCATAAAGTGCCATGTCCTTTGAGACACAAATCGGAATGCATTGACCATTGGCCCGTCTTCAAACCAGACGCATGGTTGCTTTGCGGCCTAAATATACAAAACTCGGATAGTCCTTATCTTAAATTTAGGAGAGGTTGTAAGTTGCAATCTTAATTCCTAAGCTCCCTGTTATCTTCAAAGTTTATTGCTGGATCCAAGACCAATTATTTTGCCTTGGATTTTTTTGAACCTCATCCTCCAGTGTCTCGTCCACTGCCTCACCTTTATAAACCAAAGTATCGGTGCGGTTTGAAGATTGCATCCACACCTTCATTATTGCGAAATAAGTCTTATTTTTTTTGCATATACGGGTGGTCGAGCTCACAGCACACTTGGTGTTATGTGGTTAGCGGGGCCCATAGACATCCACAGCGTAAATGCAGCCACCCACCTTGAAATATGAATTCTAAGGTTTTAGTATAGTTACGACGCTGCCCCACCCTTCAGACCGAAACGCATTACTGCTTCACGGCAGAAATATGCAGGGCGGTGGTACCTACCCGTGTTGACTCACAAGATGTCCTACCACCAGTCTTATACAACTCGTCCGTGTCTACTTTGCGGTGAGCTTAGAAACAGTTAGTCTTCTCTATCGTGCGGAATCCGTAAGTTCGATTTGGTCTACCACAGGAAAGAGATGCATATATATCTAAGATAACGTATTAAAGCGGAAGCATTATCGTATCCACGGACTCTGATCACTGCCTCGTTCTTAAAGACGTTTCAAAGCCTATACAAAGTAATAATGGCAATGTACTTCTGAATAAAATCTGTGAGACGGTAACAGGTTTCAATTCTCAACTTTTCCTAATCGGCTTACACTGTACCGTCCCATGCAAAAGTGTTTAGGTCATAAAATAAATAAATTAATTTCCATTTTCAAACTCATCCGAATACTTTGAAATGCCACATATGTATTAAGTACGTTTACTAAGTATGTACGGGGTATTATTTTATTTCAAGCAGAAAATTAAAGATATTTTTTTTGCTATATTTTGTCAACTTGAAAACGGTTTTCGAGTGAGGGTTTTTGACGTGACAACGTCTTATAATTCGATGGAGCAAGCTGCACGTACGAAAAAACATGACTCATGCGGCGTTATCTCGCTCTGAGGCGTTCCATTTAAGGCTTGAAGTGCAAGCGAGAGCGCGCAACGAGCGACAAAGAGGCACAATCGGCCTCCGCGTTCGGCAGCGTTCGACATCTGTCTCTCTCCTACTTGAGTGAGCGATGAATCCGCGTGGACAATTTGCTATAGATACAAGTAAACCAACTTTACAGACAACCGTTCTTTTTTTTTTGTAATTGACGCATAATGTTTTTTTGGACAATATTTTGTTGATTTGAAAACGATATTCGCGTGATGGGTTTATTTTTAATGGACGCATAATATTTTTTATTATTCTATTTTGGTACAGGGGTAGTGAACTAATGGCGTGCCTGGTGTTAAGTGATCATCGATATTCTATTCATTAAGTTACTCTATATTACTTTAAATAAAAACAGTTGTATGAAAGATATCGTTTTTAAGTAACTTCAAAAAAAGGGAGGAGGTTCTCAATTCGACTGTCTTTTTTTTATGTTTTACCTCATAACTTTGACTGGGTAAATCGATTTTGATGATTCTTTTTTTATTAGAAAGCTGACGATTTCCGTGTGGTCCCATTTAGTCAAGTTCTGATAATGGTATCCATGAGAAAACCATATAAGTCTTAAATTTGCATTAAGTACGTGCGCGACAAATAGATGAATAACTCAATATCACGCCGACCGATTTCGATGATTATTATTTTTAGTGTATATTAATTTGTTTTGGAATATCTTTTTTTTTTTCTAATTGAAGTCGGTTTTTGATAAAGCATGTCTATTTACAATTATTAGAAATCATAAGATCCGATCATAAGATCTCCTCTTGTATTATTATACTCGCCTGTTGACTATTTTACAATGTTAATTGTGTTTTGGTGTGTAATATAGTATAATCTCACTCTCTCTTTCATTAAGGCTTTTGTTTGCGATTACACTTCTCACTCTCTCTTTCATTTAGGATTTTGTTTGCGATTATATTTCTAACTCTCTCTTTCATTTAGTTTTATGTCAGGTTTTTGTTTAAGTTGTTTTTAATTAGTAAATAATCAGTTAATGTCTTGCCTGTTTCTCATAGACACAACGCACTGAGTTTCTCGCCGGATCTTCTCAATGAGTCGCTATTCAGATCCAGTGGTAGATTCTCGTATTCTCTTGCTAGGGCTAGTGTTAGGAAATTCTCTCAGGTTGAATTGAACGTGTAGATGGGTAAGTTAACACATGGAAAGTTAACCTACCCATCTACACGTAGCTGAAATAGCCCCTTAAGCTATCAGGCAATAGGTAGAGGAAAACGTATTGCCTCTTCAAGAGTGGTATCGAACACGCAGTCCAACGTAGTTTAACGGTAGGCAGCGGCTTGGCTGTGCCCCTGGCATTGTTGATGTCCATGAGCGACGGTAACCACTTAACATCAGGTGTATGCTCGTCTGCCTATACGACAAAAGAGGATCTCACAATGATAGCCTGGCTTATCATCAGACTATATACGAGCTCGGCTACCTCCAGTTATAAATGGCAGTCTTTTCTTTACATCCTGAAATTTACAGCGTCTGTCTTCTCAATTGCCTTCTCTTTCTCCCCCCTACCTGTGGAATCCCAATCCCATTCTTCCTCCACCAATAGTTAATGCATTCCAATCTGAAGGGTTTGTTTTACAAATAATATTGAGAAATGCACCTTCTGTATCAAGGTAAGAGACATTCACTTAGTAATATATAATATATAGACGAACATATATAACGCATTAGACTGTAAATACATCTTAACATTAAATGTGGTAAAAAGGATATTCATAATGTTGTTTTTTTTTATTGCTTAGATAGATGGACGAGCTCACAAACCACCTGATGTTAAGTGGTTACTGGAGCCCATAGACATCTACAATTTAAATGCGCCACCCACCTTGAGATATAAGTTCTAAGGTCTCAGTATAGTTACAAAGGCTACCCCACCGTTCGAACCGAAACGCATTACTGCTTTACGGCGGAAATAGGCGGGGTGGGGGTACCTACCCGTGCGGACTCCCAAGAGGTCCTACCACCAGATGAGATGTGATGGAGTCACAAATGATTACCTATTAGCCTTCGAATAGTTCTGCAACAGTTTTCTTTAAGTAACTCAATAATTAATCACCTATCGATATTATTATTCGATCTTCTGTCCTTGAGATTACAAAACAAGTTCCATAACAGGTAAGTCTGAATCGATTCTGTCAAACAACAAATAGTTTGTATAACAATCGATATTTCAAACGTTGGTCGTTTCTATTGTCACAATTGTTTCTTAATGGATAATGAATTCTATTAATTTAAAATATGTTAGTACAGGATCCCTGGTACACTTTTCATCATTTATTACTAACAAGCTGATTTTTCGTGAGTAGCTTCCTTTTGACTAGACGCCCAACTTTTTTCATTACACTAACCTTGGTAAAAGGTAGCTTACTAGGGGTAGTAAGGATAAAATCTGTTGATTTCACGATTTTTTTTTTTTTTGTTAATTATCGAGATAATTATCTAAATAACGTGAAGAAATATTTGTACTACAAAACATAAGGTTTTGTTAGGGAGTCCCCCCTCTCCAATATGTATCATGAACAAGGTCATGAAAAAGAATTACTAACCAGCTGATTTCTTTTTATTGGTTAGCTTACTATTGCATAGCTTACCATCCACATTTTCCTACAAATAGCGTGGTACGTTATTCCACTCCTCCAGTTACATAGTTGAAATTAATGAAATTAAAAATAATATTATTTCGTACATTTTGCTATTGGAGCTGAGGCAAACTATTATCCTTGCTCACAAACGCATATAAGCTTAGGTAGGAAAAAAAGACATGTATATATTGCATTGTACAAGATACTAACTACCCTTTAAACTGAAATTCATAACTGCTTCGCCACAGAAACAGTCGGAATGTGTTGTCATTATTTATATATTAATACGTGAAGCAAAAACTTTGTATCCCTTTTTACGAAATTTGCGCGGACGGAGGAGTATGAAATTTTCCACACTTCTAAAGAATATAGAAAAGAAGTGCACAATGCTAATATTCTTTTAAAATAATGCATAAAAGATACATTAAATCAATAAAGAAAACGTTACACACACTACATACCATGTATTTGACGCACACACGCATGCATACTATTTATTGTCAAACTTTTGTCCATGACGTCTGTTGTCAAATTGAGAATAGATTAAATATTGTTTGTCATTATTAATATTTTTCTATAGTGTAGTCTTAGCGAAATTTGTGATTATAGAAGTATAAAATACAAACATAATAGTGTACAAACTTACAATTTCAATTAATTATAGTCGAATTTCGACTACTGCGGCACCTCTAGTAAGAATTCATACACAAATACAACACGTCACTTACAGTTTATCATAATAACAATTAAAAATATACATTCAAATTTATTTATCGTATTGAAAAAAGAGGCAAACGAAAATGAGCCTTTTCATGAAGGATATAAGTCGCAAAATATTCAATAGCACACACAAAAATAAGTCAAGCCAAAATGGTGTTTACGCAAAAGTTATAAGGTCGACGAGAACTTACGTATTCAAAGAGCGTGTTCCGTGTTTGTCGAACGGAGGAAGCGTGCCGAAGACAAGCAGGGTATCTGTAAACAAACAGAATCCTGTTACATATACGTAGCGCATTTAAATAACAGTAACCGTACTTTAAATTTAACGCAACCCTCTCTGTTTTAATGGAAACCATTCCTAATTGTTTGGTTAGCGAATCAGACAGTGGCGGTATGTAATTAACAGGCTTAAGCACCAAGTCTCTTGAAGTCTCCGTTGATTTGTATAAAGGACCGCTAACGTTAGCGCTCCAAGTTATTTAGACTGTACAACAGTTACAGCTCACGACGGAGACTGTCACTGAAGGTACCTCCAGGCGTTTCCCGTCGAAATAATGAAATACAAAAGAATCCCCAAGAAAAAACATCACAAGGAAACACCATACTATTACTTTTTTTTTATTATTTGTTCAACAGGATAATCCAAGGGCCACGGGCGTTATTCATAAGCTTTTGCGAGATTCGGACGGAGTTTGTGGAAATCAATTTGCAACATTGGCTTTTTCACGTACTTTTCGATGGACTATTAAATAAGATAAAGAAATATGAGTAAATGAGGGGATGCTTTGAGGAATCCAATCCATCATTACGGCCACCGGAGCAGAGTTCACTGTGACAGCTTGGAACCATTGCGCTCATCAATAACGCGTTTCCAGAGATCTTTTTTACTAATATCTGATTCTCTTAACTGCCCTCTACGCTATTTTCTAAGTGCTACGATAAATTATTCTCCAAATGATTTTTGAAAAAAGTTCATATTGGCTGGCCAAAATTTAATTATATCCATGACATTGCTAGCGACGCTGACACATGCTTTCATAAACCACAAAAAAAAACATTCTAGAAACTATATTCTACAACTAGTGACCCGCCCTCGCTTCGCTTCGGAAACAATAATTTTTATTATTGATAGCTGAGTCCCGCGATGATACCCGCGGTTATTGTCGTACCACGGGTGACGCCGCGGGGCGAAGCTAGTCTAAAAAAAGTAGCCTAAGTTACTCCTTATATCATCAGCTACCTATCAGTGAAAGTCTCGTCAAAATCGGTCCAGATGTTTCAGAGATTAGCCGGAACAAACAGACAGACAAAAATTGTAAAAAATATTATTTTGGTGCATGTACCGTATATAGATTCATATGCGTGTAGTAAAAAGCGGCTATTTCAATATTACGAACAGACACTACAATTTTATTTATATGTGTAGATATCAGAGAAATGTAATTCAGAGAGTGAAATTAGCTTGTATTGCTAAAGACCCAATCATTCTGGTTCACTCATATAGACGAGAATGTTATTTCTAAATGTCGAGTTCCGCTCACGTAATGTTTCTTAATATCTGTGGTACAAAACAGTAGCGCTTTAGTTGGAGCATTATGAGCTTGGCGTGTTCTTAATAGACGATTCATATTAATTTAGACTTAGTTCACGTTCATTACTTTTAGAATAGGAGAATGAAAATATATATTACTAGCTGACCCGGTAGACTTCGTAGTGCCTCAATCGATAAATAAAAGACCTAAACTTTTGTATAAAATAAACTTAAAACAAACAAAAGGAATCCGTCCAACGGGGGACACATCAAAGGAAAAACAAAATTGTTATTTTTATTTAATTCCGAGCATTTTCATATTTATCTACCTTTTAAACCCTCTCTGGACTTTCACAAATAATTCAAGACCAAAATTAGCCAAATCGGTCCAGCCGTTCTCGAGTTTTAGCGAGACTAACGAACAGCAATTCAGTTTTATATATATAGATTTGTCCACTATTTAATGGATGCTATTATACATTTAACCTTCCTCTTCAATCACTCTATCTATTAAAAAAAAACCGCATCAACATCCGTTGCGTAGTTTTAAAGATTTAAGCATACATAGGGATATAGGGACAGAGAAAGCGACTGTGTTTTATACTATGTTGTGAAGCTATGATACTCGTAGTAGTAATATAATAGTACTGTCAATTTTAAACGCTGCACTACACTTTCCAGCAATCCTGTTTAGTTTTATCACAACTTTTTGAATCGAAACTCATATTACAGTTAGACAGACGGCACATAGTAGAGATGAGTCGGATTTATTAGAACAGAACCGAGTATTAGATATTTTACCAGATTAGGCCAAACTTTATTTTTATTTTTATTGCTTCGATGGGTGGACGAGCTCACAGCCCACCTGGTGTTAAGTGGTTGCTGGGGCCCATAGATATCTACGACGTAAATGTGCCACCCACCTTGAGATATAAGTTTTAGGGTCTCAAGTGTAGTTACAACGGCTGCCCCACCCTTCAAACCGAAACACATTATTGCTTCACGGCATAAATAGGCGGAGTGGTGGTACCTACCCGTGCGGACTCACAAGAGGTCCTAGCACCAGTAATGACAGGAGGTCCTACCGCCAGTAATCCACCAGTAATAACCAGTATCACCAGTAATAGCCTAATCCCATTTTGTCAGTGTGTATAATACATCTGTTCCACCTAATCTTCGTATTCTTAAAACACAAAATCTAATATTCAGCATACGTTCCCACCTGTTCCTGTGCTATCACACTCACTTACACGTTGCAACATATCTCACAATCCCTAAATGTCTAATCCTAATCATTCGATTAATAATCCAACGGTCACATTAATCAAATCCTAATAACGAACTCAGAACTTGAGATTAGGAATAGGCGGATTGAGATTGCTTGTAACTAAAGTATTGGTTGTGAATGCGATTAGGAAGATTATGTGGATCAGGTATTTTTTTTAGATTAGGAACAGGTGGACCTAGTATCTGTTTTACCTAGTACGACCCATCTCTAGCATATAGTCCTTCTAGTGATGATAAGTGGTTGCTTGTACCTATAGCTGTAATGTAAATGTCACCATTAACCCCGAAATATAAAGTCGAAGCCTTAATTGGATTGAGTTACGGCTGTCTCAAACTTCAAAATGGAAGGTAGCCCATATTTAAAAGAAAATGTAAATACAAATTTAAATATAGAGCTTCAAAGCTACGTTCACATTACACTGGGCACAATAATAACATTAATGTAGGTAGGTTATAATATACCGACTATCTATGATTCATACAAACTGTAAATATCTATAATATTAATACTTGAAGCAAAAACTTTGTGCCCCTTTTTACGAAAATTGCGCGGACGGAGGAGTATGAAATTTCCCACACTTATAGAGAATATAGAGAAGGAGTGCAGAATGCTAATATTTTATTTAAATTATGCATTAATAATACATTAAATCAATAAAAAAACATTACACACACTACCGTGTATTTGACAACACACACACGCACACATTCACAGATAAATATACTCTTTGTTTATTGTCCAACTTTTGTTATTGCTGTCTGTGGTCAAATTGAGAATTTAATATTATTTGTCTATGGTGTAGTCTTGACGAAATCTGGGATTACAGAAGTAAATTCTTTGACAATAGAAACATAATAATGCTCAAAATTATAATTTCAATTAATTATAGTCGAATTTCGACTACTGCGGGACCACTAGTATCCATAATATGTTTACTGCTAAACTCTATTAAGCAGTTTTAAATATAAGACTTTTATAGACTATATTAATTAACGTGCAGAAAAGGTCTTACGGAGCTTTTCTGCACGTTCTGCATCAAAATAACGCAACCATAGCTATGACGTCATATAACTTGCGAAATAGAAAAAAAAAACAAATGAAAAACGTCCGTTGCAATGCTGGAAAAATACATTCAGCGCAAAGTTTGCATATGGAACATGTTCCACGTTCATTGGAATGCATGAAGTGACGTCACCGAATTCGACGTCACAGATTAAAAGATTTCATATGAGAATTTAAAGGCGCCTTTTTTTAATATTTTCTAAAATCTTCTTTTTTCTCTTCTCTCTCTCTCTTCTCTGTCTTCGATAGTGACAGTAGTAGTAAAGTGTATTGGAGTGTTGTAGGTGAAATAAAAGAGAACTGTTCAAGTCGACAATTCGTGTAATACTGTTATAATTTAGTGTGTGCAGTTACAAATATAAGGTTAGGCGAGCTGCACACTACAAAAGCTTTCCTAAAATAAACAACGAACTCTGAAGTTGCAATACATAAATATAAAGCTTTTTCGTCCTAAAAATTTAAACCTGACCTAAAATTTCTTGAGGATTTCTTGAAGATGGCGGCGGTTGCAGTTATGTCTACAAAGCGTTACATAACTTCTTTTTTTATTACAATTACGTCAAAGATTGTGGTATTTAAGGGTGGTGGGGCGTCTTGTAAGTTAGGTCGGCTAAGCAGTGAGCTGCGTGGTCATAGGTACCGGTTTGAAAGCCGTTGTGCATACAATCGTGACGTCTTAAGTTTCAAGCTGGGTAGCGGAATTCAAGTTGTGACCTCAATAGGATACCACTCAATACTGGTAAGTAAGCCAATAGCCAATGGGTAAGCCATTAGCTCCTTTCCATATCAATGCTATAAAAAGACGACAACGCCGTATTTTTTGGTGGCTTAAAAAAAATAAACATTCTATTTTACTTATTCTTTGGTTTTTCTATAGTCTGTCACTTTTCCTTACAGCGTGTAATAAAAGCTAACGGCGTAAGTAGGCCCTACAGGGTTCGCTTCTGCGTAAATACGGATTTATGTTTTGTTTGGGGCTGTGAAAAAAATAAATGAAAGCTTTATATGTAATTGAATAATCCATAGATTTTAAGGCACGACTTGTGTGTCAATGCTGTTGTACTATGTAGTAGTTAATTTTTTGTCCAGTCATTATTCATTTATTTTTTATTGCTTAGATGTTTGGACAAGCTCACATCCCACCTGGTGTTAAGTGGTTACCGGAGCCCAAAGACATCTACAACGTAAATGCGCCACCCACCTTGAGATATAAGTTCTAAGGTCTCAGTATAGTTACAACGACTGCCCCACCCTTAAAAACCTAAACGCATTACTGTTTCATGGCAGAAATAGGCAAAGTGGTGGTACCTACCCGTGCAGATTCACAAGAAGTCCTACCACCAGTAATTACCCAAATTATATTTTGCAGGTTTG